CCTCCGGAGGACCCGGCCTGTCGTTTTGAACACAGCCTATTATTGACATTATTTAGCTCTTAGCTTTTAGCTAGTGTTTTCCTACTGTTTTTAAATTCAGCTCAGTTTTAGCTTCTTCCAGATTTAGTGAAGTTCTTCGGCTCTGAGCTTGTTGTTATTTATGTCTGTTGTTGTTTGTTTACAGAAAGCTCTGCGGACAGGAACCAGCACGCGGCTGGACGAGCGAGTCTTCGCCATGTGTGAGTTTAAGACGCAGCCGCTGCCGCAGCTGATGAAGATGATCCATCCGGACCTCTACAGGCTGGACAACGTGACGGACCAGGTGGGACTCCAGCAACACAAACTGAGCTCTGTGTTGTTGTTGTTGTTGATGATGACGATGTCCTGGTTTCACCTGCAGGGGGCGCTCCACCTGAACGACACCATCGTCCCTCAGCCTCACCTGCAGCACCTGTCGGCTGAGAGGCTGAGCCCGGACGGGGCGTTCCTCATGGACTGCGGCGACGTGAGGAAACGTTCCTTCGCTCGACGWYCTGATTAAACGCAGCTCTTCTCAACCTGACGGTTCTGTCCCGGTTCTGTTTCCTGCAGGCGTTCTACCTGTGGATCGGTAAGAACTGCAGCGACGCGTTCATCCGGGACGTCCTGGGCTGTCCGAGCTACGCTTCAGTTCCCCCCAACATGGTGGGTAACGGTTGTGTTCCGGTGCCGAAGGTTYGAGYCCGCCGYGTTCCTGACGTTCTGGTTCTGCTCTGGTTCTCCTCAGAGTCACATTCCTGAGCTGCAGACTCCTCGGTCTGAGAGAGTCCGAGCCTTCCTGGACTGGCTGCAGGACAACCGGGCCTTCAGCTCCACCGTCCACGTCCTGAAGTAAGACMCGCGCCTGGTTTTTATTTTTTACATCGTCGTTCTGTTGGACTCACCTGCAGCCTGGTTCAGGTTCTGTCCTCTCATCGTTTCCACTCACATCTTCAGCTTGAAGGACTAGAAGTCCTGCTCCTCATGTCCTCCCTGCCTCCCTCTCATTCCCTGATGTCTGTACCTCCTCCTCTCCTCCTCCTGTTCTCTGTTCTCACCACAGATCAGAGTGTCGTCAGCAAACATGGTGATCCACGAGTTTCACTTGATCAGTCTCTGTTCAGAAACAGTTTAATGGTGTAAAGTGTAAATAAAAACAGCTGTTAACCAAAAGCTACATTCAGCTTTTATATGACATTGAAAAACAAACACACATCAAGATACAGTTTTATGAGGAAAAACTTACCATAAACTTCACCCTGGTGCCAATAAATTCCCACRAAGCTTTTTAGTAATCACTTGGTGAAAGTGTTAGCTAACTGCAGTGTGTAGCATACTCTCCTCTCATTGGTCAGTCAGTGAAACCCTCGCTGATTGGTTGTACGCTAAGCGACAGCGACAAAAGTTGAACATTTTTCAACTTTCATATGTCGCGTCGCAAGCTCGCGTGTGCACGTCTACGTGTACGAGCGCGAAATTTCACATGCACTATTTTCGCCGGTCGCTTAGCTGGAGGAGGGCGAGCGATTGTCGCCTCACCGCACAGGCTCCATAGGAAATGAATGGAGAGCGAGCGACGTCGCCTCCCGTGTGTCGAGCCCTTAACGGGGAGTTCATTCCAGAGCCTGGGGGCCACAGAGGAGAAGGACCGGTCACCACGGGTCTTAAAGCGAGTGAGGGAAACCATAAGGAGATGTTGATCATGTGAGCGGAGGTCTCGTCTGGGGTTGTAAGGGGAAATGAAACTTTTAAATGTATTCAGGTGCTTGGCCATGAAGAGCTCTTTTTTAATTCTGTCTTTTAATAAATTTTAATTTGCTCTTTTAGTTTTTAGCTACCTTTTTGCTAAATGTAGCTTTTAGTTACAGTTCTGCTACTATCCCAGACTTTTCCTACATTTAGCTTCTAGCTAGCCTTTTGATACTTTAGCTTTTATCYATCCATTTATTACTTTTGCAACAATTAGCTTTCAGTTTCATTTTTGCTACTTTTAGCTTTTAGCTACTATTTTGCAGTTTTTGGCTTTTAGTCATCTTTATTTTTTTCTCAAACTTTTTTCTACTTTTAGCAAACATTTTGCTACGTTGTATACTTAGCCTTTTGCTACATTTAGGGAGCATTTTGCTGCTTTTAGCTTTTTGCTCTCCTATTGAGCTCATAGTTATGAAACTGAATTTAAACATTTTTGCTGTTTTTAGGTTTTAGCTACACTTCTGTTTTTAGTTATGCTTCTGCTGCTTTGCTAGTCTTTGTGCTACCTTTAACTCACAGCTAGTGTTTGTATKCTTTTAGCTTTGAGCTATCCATTTGCTACTTTTGCTACATGTAACTTTTAGTTTAATTGTTGCTACAGTTAGCTTTTAGCTACTATTCTGCAGCTTTTAACTTTTAGATTTTCTCGAGATTTTTTATCAAGGTTTTTGCTACTTTTAGCAAACATTTAGCTACATTTAGCATTTACTTATCCTTTTACTATACATTTGGGAAGTGTTSTGCTACTTTCGCCTTTTATTTAGCTCTTAGCCTCCTTTAGCTTTTAACTAGTGCTTTCCTGCTTTTTGGTTACTGTTCTGTGTTTTCAGCTTCACCAGCTCAGTCTTAGGTTCTTCAGTTTATTTCTCGGCTCATTTGGATCCAAACGACGCGCTGTCATTGGTCTGATCTGGACCAGAGCTAATTTTAAAAGAGCCGAAGTAAAGCTGATTAACTGTTCTGTGGTCAGATTGATGAAAAGCTGAGATTCTTTTCAGAAACCTTAAACGTCTTGTCCTCCGTTCTAAAGAGAAGGTTATCAACACATAGTTCAAAACCCGGCCTCTCTGATGGTATGGGGGTGCATTAGAGGCAGTGATTTCTGTCACACGTTGCTCAAACGACCTGCTGAGCGTCTCGGTGTCACCACGATCCAGTTTCTGTTGTAGAAGTGTTGTGTTTAAGCACTGACACTTTCATGAAGCTAAACACAAACAAACGGTTGGAAGTTTAAGTTTTTCTTTACTTTTTGAACTGATTTTCAGCTTAAAGTGAAGCTGAGGTCAGACGTCCAAAGAAACACAAACCTGTAGRGTTTAAATGTGATTTGAGCTTTAATTTAAATGAAGATAAATCTGTTTATCGTTTCCATCTGAACGTGGGTTAGAGTTTTATCGGCCGTGTTGTAACAACGTTGGAGGGAACAGAAACGGGGTGCGGTCRGCCTCATGTTGATCCGACTCGACTGAAATCTATTTCCAGAGGAACTCGAAGTCGGCAGCGAGCTCTCCGGGGTGACGGCGGTAAAGATTTCCACGAGGAATGCATTGTTTCGGTCTCTGCTTCGYTGCTCAACCTGGTATTTACAACCTGCTGCTGCTGCCAGAACAAATCGACTCTCGGGGTTTTGGGCGGATGTGTTTTTTTTTTTGTTTTTGCGCAGCTTGAAGATGCTGCAGCTTTAGGAGCAGCTGATTCTCTGTTTTTAAACTTGTTAAACATTTAAGAGAAAAGTTCTTGAGTTGATGAGGCTGGGGTTGGATGATACGACCAGAAATGGATGTTTTGATTGATTCTTTATCGTAAACTGATGACCAGAGGGAGAAACGGCTTCTCAGTTCATTGAATTTAAAGTTTTTGGTTTCTCTGATGAACGCTGAKGCCCGGCCCGGTGCAGCAGAGAGACGTCTGCAGGTGAAAGCACCTGTCGGTCTACAGCTCCGGTCCAGAATGAGCAGCTCACTCCTCCTGAGACGTCGGATCTAAAACATTTTATTAAATGTTTCTGTTCAGAGCACCGATATTGAACAGATGTGTCCAAATTTACAGTCATGAACAAACTCCTCTCCTCATGAGAGAGCACTGCCACAGGGAAAACAATTTCAGTCAAAAGATTTTTTTCTTTTTTGTTTTAACCCATGTAGGTATGGCATGCCACTGAATCATAAAACAAATAAGGTATGGCAGGCTGTTGCATCATATGTATGGTAGGCCATTGTGTAATATTAATCAAAGCATGGCAGGCTGCTGTCATGTACTAAAAATATGGCAGGCCGTTGTGTCATATAATGAAATATTCCACAGGTCAGTGTATCATATGTAGCAGGCCACATTGTCTAATACTAAGCAACGTATGGCAGGCTGTTGTCATGTACTAAATGTATGTGGGGTTGTTGTGTCATATAATGAAAAATTCTGCATGTTTATCATGTAATTAGCAAGGTATGGCATGCTGTTGTCATATGAAGTATGGCATGTTGTTGTATCATATAATTAAGGTATGTCATGTCGTCATATAATTAAAAGTATTAAAGGCCATAGGTCGTATCATATTTAGAAGTGTGACAAGTTGTATCATATAATTTTAGTATGCATGGCAGGCCGTTGTATCATAATTAACAATTATGGCAGGCTGTTGTATCATATAATAAAAATATGACAGGTGTATTGTAATATGCATAATTTTTTTTTCAATTTCAAAATAGTTTCAAATAAATTTGAACAATAAATTGTTAATAATAAAAAATATATTAAATAAAGTTTATGGCCTCAATTAATCTCCATAATAAAATGACAGATTTTAGGACATAATTTGGCGCCAGTTTTGAGTTATTGTTGAATCGTAACGTCTCCGTCCTCTAACCCTTCTGTCCAATAATCATGTTTTCTTTGCGGACTCCAGATGAACTCAGTGTTTTATGAGCTGAATGTTAGCATGGCTAACTGTCTCGATTCTCTCACAACAAACTGATCTTTGTCTCGTTAAAGGGATTCTGYTCATTTTGGGGGCGGGGTTCWGTCATCCCTCTAAGCTGTGTTTCTYCGTTCCTCCTGCAGAGACGACTCTTCGGCTAAATCCGCCTTTTTCCAGCACCTGGTGGAGGACCGGTCCGAGTCCGCTTCGTCCTACCAAGAGTTCCTGCAGCACATTCATCAGCAGGTGTCCAAGTAGGCTCCCGTCACGCAGGCAGGACGTTTAGGCTCCGCCTTCCTGAGAGCAGAGCGAGAAAAGACTTCCGGCCTCGTAGAGAAAGAGCTAGCGTTAGCCAACGAGCCACCGCCATCGACCTCTCCTGACCCAAAACCATTCAGGCAGTCTCATTAAACCAGTCCAAGGTGGAGGCTTCATGAGGGGGAGGWGCTTGTTTTAGGAGGCGGGGACTAACGAAGATTTTGTTCCAGGAAAAAAACACAAAACAGTCATCGTGGAACTCTGAGAACGTCGAGCCGAGAAGATTCCACTTCCTGTTTGTGCACCTCACATGTAGCTTGTTTTTATTTTTAGGTTTAAATATTTTTTTWACACACTGGAGAACAGGAACAAAACTTCGGCATGTGCTTTAAAAACATCTGGCATGCCTCGGTTCCTCTGCTGCTCTGAAGACTGCGGTCCGGGACTCATTTGGATGTTTATTTTATTTTATTTTATTTTTTAAACTTTCACCTCCGTCTCCTCCTGTCTGGTGGGCGGAGCTTCCTGGAGCTCCGCCCCCCTCTGCGCTCATCTTRTTTTATTTTTCCAGGCGCAGAACAAAACGTCCACTTTGTAACTACTGAGAAATATCTTTTATGTGCGATAATTTATGAATGAGCTTATTAAATAAAAACTAAAACAACTCTGGTTATTTCTTCTGTGATTTTTAAAATTTTTAGACGGTTTTAACTTTCAGGAAGTTGAGCTGCTTTTGTTTTCTGCGTCAGTCACTTTTTATCATTTTTATCTTTCACATGAAGTTAAAGAAAAAACAAAACCTTCAGCTCTGGAAGAAGCTGCTGCTGCTTCTACTGATTACTGTAAAAAAAAACATTAATTGTAATAAATTTACTGTTCAGGTTCAGTTTTCTGTTTAAACAGCAAATAGTCAGACAAAATAAGAATTAAGAAAACTAAACAAACATCACAAAACGGCTCGCAAAGAAAGTTCTGGTCCAGATTTGTGACCCCAGAGACAGATTTTACAACAAAAGAAAGAAAAATGTGAGAAAATAAAATGTTCAGTTACTAAAAATCATATCTAAATGTTCAACTCTGATGTGTTTTCTGTCCTTCAGGATTTTTTAAATCATATTTTAATAACAGGCAAAATTAATTTTCTTTTCTAGACTCAACTCTTTCAAATAATACAAAATGATAAATCTCTTCAGTTTTAAAATGTCTTCTCCTAAATTCAGATTTTAGCTTTTATTTAGCTGTGTTTACTGTTCAGTTAGCCTTTTGCTAATTTCAGTTTTAGCTAGTCAGTTGCTTCTCCTAGCTTCTAGCTAGACTTTTGTAACTTACACATTCTAGCTAACTTTTTGCTTCTTTAACCTTTTGGCTAATTTGAGCATTTAGTCTTTTCATACTTTGTCAGGCTTTTGCTACTTCCAGYTTCTAGCTAACCTTTTGCTTCTTTAAGTTTTTTTGTAAGCTTATTGCTACTTTTACCATTTCGCTGGACTTGGTGCTGATTTTTGTTTTTAGCTATCCTTTTTCTACTGTAGCTTTTTTGCTAGCTTCATCTGCTGCTTTTAGCATTTTGCTAGTCTTGTGCTACTTTAAGCGTATATATAGGTATTTGTTAACTTTTAGCTACTATTGGCTTTTAATTTGCAACTTTAAGCCCTTTTCTTACTTTTATTTTTTAGCTACTCTTCTGCAAAACTTAGCTTTTAGTTATGATTCTGCTACTTTTAGTTAGCATTATGGTCTTTTTAGCTTGTAGCTAATGTTTTGACACTTTAGCTACACATTTGCTACCTTTTGCTTTTAGCCACTGTTGCATATTTTAGTTTGCTTTTTAATAGCTCTTTGTGAAGCTTCCAGTTTACACCTTTCAGAATAAAAGTATTTGAGTTTGTGTTTTTCTAAATACAACAAAAAGCAAATATATTCTCTACCACATTTTTTATAAAGCCACTTTTGTATTCATTGTTTAATCTTTGTAAAATTTTGTATTTGTTTGCAATGCTTTTATTTTGAAACTTAGCAGCTAAATATGCTACATGCTACGCGTGGCACCTGACACATCCAGCACTGCTTGAGTTTGGGGTTAGGTTTTGTTAAATTTCAAAATCCTTCAGTGATCCTAAAAAGAAATTACATTAATTGATAAACAGTATAAAAACAAAACTTTATATTTTGTTTATATACTGATTTGTTTTTTATAGAGAAAGCTAATCGGTCCGCTAACAGNGATTTGTGACCCCAGAGACAGATTTTACAACAAAAGAAAGAAAAATGTGAGAAAATAAAATGTTCAGTTACTAAAAATCATATCTAAATGTTCAACTCTGATGTGTTTTCTGTCCTTCAGGATTTTTTAAATCATATTTTAATAACAGGCAAAATTAATTTTCTTTTCTAGACTCAACTCTTTCAAATAATACAAAATGATAAATCTCTTCAGTTTTAAAATGTCTTCTCCTAAATTCAGATTTTAGCTTTTATTTAGCTGTGTTTACTGTTCAGTTAGCCTTTTGCTAATTTCAGTTTTAGCTAGTCAGTTGCTTCTCCTAGCTTCTAGCTAGACTTTTGTAACTTACACATTCTAGCTAACTTTTTGCTTCTTTAACCTTTTGGCTAATTTGAGCATTTAGTCTTTTCATACTTTGTCAGGCTTTTGCTACTTCCAGTTTCTAGCTAACCTTTTGCTTCTTTAAGTTTTTTTGTAAGCTTATTGCTACTTTTACCATTTCGCTGGACTTGGTGCTGATTTTTGTTTTTAGCTATCCTTTTTCTACTGTAGCTTTTTTGCTAGCTTCATCTGCTGCTTTTAGCATTTTGCTAGTCTTGTGCTACTTTAAGCGTATATATAGGTATTTGTTAACTTTTAGCTACTATTGGCTTTTAATTTGCAACTTTAAGCCCTTTTCTTACTTTTATTTTTTAGCTACTCTTCTGCAAAACTTAGCTTTTAGTTATGATTCTGCTACTTTTAGTTAGCATTATGGTCTTTTTAGCTTGTAGCTAATGTTTTGACACTTTAGCTACACATTTGCTACCTTTTGCTTTTAGCCACTGTTGCATATTTTAGTTTGCTTTTTAATAGCTCTTTGTGAAACTTCCAGTTTACACCTTTCAGAATAAAAGTATTTGAGTTTGTGTTTTTCTAAATACAACAAAAAGCAAATATATTCTCTACCACATTTTTTATAAAGCCACTTTTGTATTCATTGTTTAATCTTTGTAAAATTTTGTATTTGTTTGCAATGCTTTTATTTTGAAACTTAGCAGCTAAATATGCTACATGCTACGCGTGGCACCTGACACATCCAGCACTGCTTGAGTTTGGGGTTAGGTTTTGTTAAATTTCAAAATCCTTCAGTGATCCTAAAAAGAAATTACATTAATTGATAAACAGTATAAAAACAAAACTTTATATTTTGTTTATATACTGATTTGTTTTTTATAGAGAAAGCTAATCGGTCCGCTAACAGTTTCTAAAGTTAGCAAAAAAGCTAATCCGCTAAATGAGAAGCTGTGCTAGTTCGCTGTGGAGACCCCTGCTGAAGGGAAAGCCGAAAGAACGATAACAACGCAGATTGGACCTCTGTGGACCAGGATTCTCCTGAATCTGATACAAATAAAAATATCGGAACACCACGGCCCGCTGCTGTCCTAGGGTCAAACTGGGCTCTGAGGCCTCGGGGTGGTTCTGATCCGAGCAGCAGGGTCCTGATGGAGATTTCCAATCAGAACCTCTAAAGCTGTTTATAAATCAGTCTCAGCTACTACCAAACCAAACTTCAGCTCAGTGTCTGTAAAACTGACCGAGTTCAAGCTGGTTTTGTGTTTCAAGCATTCGGTTGGCTGCGGCAGCCATCTTGAATCCTTTTGGCGCCAAAATTTATAGAGTTAAAGCGAAAGGTCCAAAGTAAGATCCCTGAAAGTTTCATTAAAATCCATCCTGTGGTTTGTGAGATATTTTGCTAACAGACACGCACAGTGTTCATGTCAGAACCGAGACTCAAATGTTTGGTTTGAACCGCCTTTTTTTTTTTTTTTTTTCTTAATGACTAATTTATTGTCCCTCCTCTTCCTCCTGTCGGGTTCTGTGGGCGGGTCCGGTTCGGACTGTTGGACCGGCCTCCCTCATTAAAAACCTCCACCCTCCTCCCTCCTCTCAACATCGAGCGGAGCCGCGAGGAGAACCATCGACCCGCYGCTGCTGCTGCGTCCTCCTCATCCCTCCCACAGTCCATCGTCTGAGCCGGTACCGAGCCGGGAGCAGAACCCCTGCGGGAGCGATGGCTTCTAACCCCGCGGAGAGCCCGAAGCTGTCCGAGGACCAGGTCAAAGTTCTGGAGCAGAACTTCAACAAAGTCAGCAAACATCCGGACGGAACCACGCTGCTGCTGATCGCTGCGGAGGTCGGGCTGAGCGAGGAGGACACGGAGGTGAGTGAGGGTCCACCTGAACCTGGGTCCACCTGAACC